TCTCATTTCTCTCCATTTCCTGCATAGATTCTACACACTGGTTATATATAGCACACTCATAACTCCACGAGCACACGATAGCCCTTATGCTTCTGAACATTTGACTATGTTGTTCTCTATGAGATGCTCTCCCCCTTTCTTCAACAGCAAATGTCTTCTCATCTGTTGAAGTCCAGCTCAAATGTCACCTCCTGCCTGAAGCCTTCCCCCACCAGGCCAGGTAATTCTGCAATTCTGCATTGTAAAGGCTGTTCCCCACCAGACCTGGTGCTCCCTGAGGGCATAGACCAGTGGTTGGCAAACTCATTAGTCAACAGAGCCAAATATCAACAGTACTGAAATTTCTTCTTTTGAGAGCCAAATTTTTTAAACTTAGACTATATATGTAGGTACATCGTTATTAACTTAATTAGGGTACTCCTAAGGCTTAGGAAGAGCCACACTCAAGGGGCCAAAGAGCCACGTGTGGCTCGCGAGCCACAGTTTGCCAACCACGGGCATAGACTATTGGGGTCAGCTCCCTGTCCCCCAAACCATGCAGCACAAGGTTGGACAGAGTAGGTGTCAATGAATGAGTGACTTGTGGGACTTCACATCCTTCTGTTTTAAGCCCCCATTCTACAGATGAGGAAATCAAGACCCAGACAGGGTAGAGACTAGCTTCAGACCACAGGGGGAATACCTCAGGGCAAAATAGGGCTAAAGTCCGCAACTTCTGAGGCCCGTCTAAAGCATCATCCCCTCGAGCTCTGGGTGATGCTCTCCTGCCTGCCTGTGGGTACCTGGTGGTGATGAGTGGGGCAGTCCGGGCTGGCCGGCTCAGGGCCTCACGGGTCTGGGGGACACAGCTGTAGAGGAGCAGCTCCTTTTCAGTCAGCAGGGCCAAGGTGGGTGCTGTGCCCCCATTGGGCAGCTGCAGAAGACAAGGCAGAGTGAAGAAGGGCAGGGAGGAGGGGAGAGGTCAGAGGGCCAAGGTGGGGAGACAATGGGAATGGGGTCAGCTCCAGGGGAGGGGAATAGAGGGAAGAATAGGTCCCTGGCCCAGCAGGCACCTGCTCAGTCAGCCAGCCGATCTGCTTGATGTCCTGGCTTCCAGCTGTGCTGGTAGCTGCCAGCAGTGCCTGCAGCTCGTCCTTGACCCAGGGCATTAGAGCATTGATTTGGGCTTGGATGGCAGCTGCCCACGATCTTGCACTAGCCTCCTCCGTGGCCCTCAGGAAGAGGGTGTCTTGACCATCTGCCGAACAGATCTCCAGATACCTGCAGGCACAAATGAGGTGGAGGGGGGAGTCTGTCCACTCCTGCAGCTGACCAACCCTGAGATCTGGCCCAAGAAACCCCATCGACCACAAAACCAGAAGAAACCACAGGGGTGTCCATGAAAGAATTAGAGCAACACTTGCTGCTGGGGATCCAGCCTTGTAACCTTGTAACAGACTGTGTTCCTGTTATTGAGGCCTCATGGGGCAACACTTGCTGCTGGGGATCCAGCCTTGTAACCTTGGGCAGCTCACTGCCCCTCTCTGGGCAACAGACTTCAGAGTTCTGGGCTGTAGCCCTTGCTGCCAGGGATCCAGCCTTGTAACCTTTTAACAGACTGTGTTCCTGTTATTGAGGCCTCATGGAGTCTAGTGACAAGAGACCATTAGATACACACACACAGGCAAATGCACATATAGGCATACACACACAAATACACACTCAAAACACATATGATAGGGGCCAAAATTATCACTGTGTGAGGATTCATTATCTTGCCCTTTTTTCCCTGGTTTCTAAGGAGGACTGTCTTGCTGAGTCAGCTCCCAGGTTCTCCTTTATGGTACAGAACCAAAATAATGCACTGATTAGGCCAAGTTGGTCTACATAAAAAGAGCTAAATTAATGGAGTAGGGAAAAGGGAGGGAGATGAAAAGCCATGCAGGCAAGTGTTGGGGAAGGTTTTCAGGGAGGTACCCAGAGGAATAGTGACAGGGAGAGGGTTTTTAAATGTTTTGTGGGACATTAAAGATTCACTCCCCTTTGGCCTTTCTGTAACAGATGAGGTGGGACATAAACAAAATTATGGCTCTCACAACACCCACTCCAACCCCCTTTACCTTTGCCTTCCTCTACTGCAGAGCTAGAAAGCAAAATACTTTAATTCTCAGACTCCCTTGCAGCTAGGGCTGGCCATGTGATCCAGTTGTGACCAATAAGATATAGATAGAAATCCCTTCCTGAATGAAGGGTAACACTTTCCTGGATGTGGCAGTTAGTCTCCAAAGATGGCCTCCAACTAATCTATCCCTCCCTGTATACACAGTCCAAACTTCTCTCATCAAGAGGTGAAGTTTATTTCTCCTCTCCTTGACCTTATAACTGATTTAACAAATAAAATGTGGCAAAAGTGACATTTTGTCATACTCCCAAGCCACCATGAAACCCAACTACCCTGAGAGGGGGAACAAGACAGCCACCTGGAAAGGCCATACAGAAAGAGGAATGCTCAGCCAGCCCCTCGCTGTTCCAACCATCCAGCCGAAGCAGCAGACATGTGAGTAAAACAGACATCTTGGGCTTCCAGCCCCAGCAGATACTACATAGAGCAGAAGAACTTGCCAGTTGAGCCAGCCAGAGTTGTGAGAAATCATAAACCATTATCTTCTAAGACACTGAAATCTAAGATGCTTTGTTTATGCAGCAACAGAACAAAATACCAGGAGAAAAATTGCTTTCCCTTTTGCCTTCATCCTGTCAAGAATATGGACATCTGCTTGGAGGTGCAGCCACCATCTTGCCTCAAAGAAGAAGAAAACCCACAATAAAGATGACAGGAGAGCCCTAGCTGGTTTGGCTCAGTGGGTAGAGTGTCGGCCTGTGGACTGGGGGG